GGAGTATCTTGAAGATCTAGTAAGGGAGAAACTGGTCTGTCAGGAATATGCTGTCAGGGGAATATGGTCAGGGAGGGGAAGGAGACTTGAAGGATTAAGATAATAGTGAATAATGGTTGGATAAGGAGAAGAGAGAGTGTTTCATAGTAGGTGAGGAGGCGAACAGAACGCTGTTGAGTGCAGTGCCAGTTTAAAACGGACTTGACTGCATGCAGAGCACAGACAGTGGGAGGGGAGTCCCAATAAGGGTAAGGTTATGAATAAAAGTTAAAACTTCTCTTTGAAGGCTAAGAGGAAGAACTGGACAGCACCTTGGTTTTAACCATATCTTCCAAGTTAAATCAAGAGTGCAACCTAGTTTTATTCATTTCCCTTTTCAGTGTCTGGAGAGGTGGTTTGGGTATTTGGGCTATTTTTTTTTCAGTAGTTTTAATTAAAGTAGCAATGGCGGCTACTCCTTTTCATGGACAAAAGGGGAAACAGGAAGATAATAATTTGGGTGTCTGCATTGGTGCCTGAGTCAATTGTTTCTTTAAATTAGTAAAAATTGTTCAGCCTTGTCATTCTATTGTAAGAGGTCTTAAGAAGAGGCTTTTAAGGGCTGTTATAAAGTTTAGGAGAGGAAGGAAACCTTAGGGAGCCACCTGCAGCAATATCCTGAAAGACCTAAGAACCCTAGGAGTCGTCTTCTAGTTTGGGGCTTGGGGAAAGCCAATATACCCTGTATTAAGGAAAGGTCAATGTTTAGATCCCCTGGGGGTAAGGAGATGTCCTAAAAATTTTACAAAAGGTGGATAGAATTGAAGCTTCATCTTAGGGACCATATGTCCCTTTAGATCTAGATTATGTAATAAGTGGAGAATGTTAGGAAGGTCTGTTCAGAGGGCATGCATCGAAGTAGCTCTATACATTGAAGTAAGGTAGAAACACAGGGAGATACAACATCTACAAGATCTGCCTTTAGAAAGTGAGAAAAATAAGTAGGGCTTTTAGTGTGTCCCTGGGGTAAGACAGTCCAGATATATATCGGTTTTTTTTCCAAGTGAAAGCAAATAAATATTGACTTTCTGAATCAAGAGGAAAACTGAAAAAGACACTGCAAAGGTCCAAGGCAGAAACAACAACAACAGCAGCAACAAAACAGCCTTGGGAGCGATATTTGATAGGAGGGAATAGATGTCAGGAATTACAGGATATGGGAGAATACCTAATACTACTCATCACTTGGAGAACAAATCGCTATCCCCTTTTGTCAGGCTTCAGGACTGGGATGATTGGGGTGTTGCAGGGGATGATGAATCCCTGAGCTAAAAATTCCTCTGTAACAGTCTGAATGCCTGTCTGTGCCCTAAGGTTTAGGTGAAGGTTTGTTAGAATCTGTTTGAACTTTGATAGGGGCTGCTGAGTGGATTTTCCCTCCATCAGTGAAAGACTGTGCCCAGAGATAGGCCAGCAGACCATGGAGGTAAGGGGGAGGATTATTGGATAAAGTTAAGGAATAGAAAGGAATATCGAAACTACTAATTTCTGAGTTGTCTTGTTATTTGAGGAGGTTAAATCTAATAATATTTTTTCCCTTACGGAAGAGTGAAATATGAACTTGGTAAGCTTCTAGAAAATCTCTTCCTAAATAAATGACTGCAGAAGGTGCAGTGCAAATTGGTGCAGAAGGAACAAGTAAGAATTGATGAATACCAGAGAGGGAGTCAACCTGAAGAGGGACTGGTAAGGATTTGGGGACAGTTTTAGGGTTTTTAGTTCCCCCACCCATTTGAATTTTTCTTGACTCAGGGGTGGGGATATTTAAAGGGCATTGGGGTTAAGGACTGAATGGGTTGCTCCTGCATCTATTAAAGTTCTAACTAATTTGTGCCCAATTTTAATATTTACCTCACCTAAATTGGCTGGCTTTAAGGGAACAAGGGAAACATCCCTTATATTTCTCCAGAGCATCCCTATTTTTGTGTCCCAGTCTGACATTTTGGGCTCCTGTTGGGTTGGAGTTGCAGCCAGCATTCATATTTGAGGCAACGCTTTTAAAACAACATTTTTAAAAATGTCCTGGTCTTTTACAAAAGAAGCAAGCCTTAGGATTGGGGTCCTGGGTGGTTTCACTATTTGGTGGGGCCAGTTCACTAAATTACTTAACTTGCAGGGTCATTAGTTTGGCAGTTGTTTCACGGTAATCCAGAATCCTTTTTTCCTATTATCACTGTCCTTTTCACCGGTTTTAGAGAGTTTTCTTGCCAGTGAGGCAATCTCATGAGGGAGTTTATCTACCCACTTAAGGTCATGTTGTTTAACTAGGAGCCGATATTTTCAGAGAGACCTGCTACATATATTGAATTAAATAAATTAAGGGGGTCATCATTTAATGCTTTAAGTCCTGAGTTTTGTTGAAAGACCTTTTGAACTGGTCAAAGTAACCAAGTACTTCTGAAACTGGAAAAACTGTCATTTGTGCTGCCTGTCACTCCCAGACCCAATAAGCAGAAACAGGGGTTGAATTTTATGGGCACTTTACTCAAATGGTCGGCAATCTGAGAAGAGTGTGGGTTTGTACCCTAACAGACCATCTTAAATTCCATTTTAAAATGGCCATTTTTATAAGTGGTAGGGGGCTCAAGAGTTGGAAAATTTTAGTTTAAGATAGTTATACATTTAGTAAGTAATGCATATGTTAAAGCTTTTGTTTCAGATCCTACAGATAAGGCCTATCTTGGCTCCTGGGAAAACAACTGACCTCCTGGGGCGCTGCTAAAGATTACAGCTTGAGGACAAGTGGAGGCATCCAGGCCATTGTGTTTCAGGGAGCGACAGATGACCACCCACTGATCACCATCCCCTGGGAACAGTTAACTGCCCAGGACAAGAATATTGCAGTTTCTTTTACCTAATTCTCCCTGAACTTTAAACTCTTCACTGCACCTTGTTTATTCCCTGTTATAAAAATGTTGGCCTGGGAAGAAAAGACAAGAGGGTCTGTTAGGTCCGAACCCACTGTCTTCTCAGATCGCCAGCCATCTGAATAAAGTGGCCATAAAGACTCAATCTCTGTCTCTGCTTATTGGGTTTGGTACACTTTTAATTTAGGGAAAAGTTCATTGAATTTAAAAAACTGCAGCACTCTCACTCTTGGCAGTGATCCTTACCTGTGTCCTGGGAGGTGGGTGGCTCACCCTGGAGCACAATGGCTCAGATAGCATCTTGATTGCTTGCAGTCCTAGGGACAAAGGTAGAACTGCTTACCTCTCCTATCAAGGTATCAAGGTGGATCATACCTTCCATTCCTGGAACAATAGCATTTATGTGCATTGATTGCTAAGCTTATTAGCTATTACTTAAACTAAAATTTTCCAACTTTCAAGGCCCCCATCACTTCCTTTGAGTATGTCTCTGGATAGCTTTCCACTTAACCTTCTTGAAAATATTTGGGAAGTGCCTTGAGTAAGTTATTGGTCTGCTTCTACATGGCTTTCAGGGCAGTAGCTTCAGGCAATTTAAAATCTTGTAAGAGGTGGCTGATTCCATCCATTGTTTAGCTAAAACAATGCCAGCTAACATATGGCTGAGTTAATAAAGATTCAAGAAACCAGCTTAAGTACTTATAAGATTTAAAGGTTCAAAATTCAAGGGAATTCTTCTTGGATCTGGAAAGTTCTTTACCATGGCTTAACTATTTTTTAAAAAGATTTTATTTTTTATTTTTAGAGAGGGAAGGGAGGGATAAAAAGAGAGAGAAACATTAATGTGCGGTTGCTGGGGGCCATGGCCTGCAACCCAGGCTTGTGCCCTGACTGGGAATCGAACCTGCGATGCTTTGGTTCGCAGCCTGTGCTCAATCCATTGAGCTACGCAAGCCAGGAACAATTTTTTTTAACATGGCTTAACAATTTGGATCGGAGGGTATAAGAGGTAGTATCTACCCTATCAGTATTTCCTTGATATTTAAAAGATGCCATGAAAATAAGAGACTCATGAGGGGAAATTTCTGAGGAGAAAAAGGAGAGTTGAGCTAGAGAATGATAGGCAGGGGGGCCAGTGTGTGAGTAGATGGAGAAAGGAGGTGGAGTGGGGAAGGAGGAAAAGCCAGTTAGAAGGAGAGATACATGTGCCAGAGCATTCCTCTAGTTTTTTAAGTTACTCATTCAATTTCTTAAAAAGGTCTTATTTATTTATTGTAGACAGAAGGGAAGGGAGGGAGAAAGAGAGAGACATCAATGGGTGGTTGTCTCTTGTGCACCCCCTACTGGGCACCTGGCCTGCAACCCAGGCATGTGTCCTGCCTGGGAACTGAAGAAGTGATTCTTTGGTTTGCAGGCTGGTGCTCAATCCACTGAGCCACACCAGTCAGGGCTCATTCAATTGACAATTACTTTCATGCAGAAAGGCTATAGAGGCCTTTTGGTTTCTTTTGGAACCTTCGAACTACCAAGTGAATGCTTCTCCATTGTTTTTGAGAGGTCCAGAAACATCTTCATTCTAATTGGGCCCTTAAATAAAATTAGGAATATCAAAAGAGCCCCCAAAGGGGCCAGGTTAAATTTATCCCAGGTGATTTTCATGGAGAGACCAAGCCAATTGCAGGCTTCTGAAGCATACTTTTTTAAAAAAACATTTTATTTACTTATTATTTTTCCTTTAGAGAGGGAAGGGAAGGAGATAGAGAGAGAGAAACATCAATGTGCAGTTGCTGGGGGTAATGGCCCAGGAATGTACCCTGGCTGGGAATCAAACCGGGGACACTTTGGTTCCTAGCTCGCGCTCAATCCACTGAGCTACGCCAGCCAGGGCTGAAGCATCCTTTTTAACCGTCTTCTCCTGCAGGAGTGCTAGGCGGTGGATGGCCCGCAGATGTCGCCCTAGAACCAGAATTACCCATCCCTTGTGAGAGACAGCAGCCGGGAGACTGTGGGTTAAATCTAACACCTGGATCTTCGGAGGGAGGCGTCTTTCCCTAGAAAACGGAAATGCTTTGTAGAGGTGTCCCTCTCCTCAGGGATCTCTACCTAAAGCGTGGGATTTTGAGGATTTGAGAGGACTCACAAGTTGATGCCTCCCGACACTAGATCTCCAAGGGCTCTTTCAGACCCTCGGAGTGGAGTGACCTCCCCCGGGAGAAGGGAGGACATCTGGGAGCCGCTTGAAATCCCACCTTTGTTGCTCAAAAGGTAAAGATTTTGGAAAAATCTTTTTGAAAAATTAAAAGAGGGATTATTCAGATGATGATTTGTAAATCAAGAAACATAGTCCTCCGTAGGAATCGACGATACATTACAAAATGGTGGGGATAAAAGCAAGGTTATAAAGGAAAAACTTGCAAGCAGTTGGTGATCAAAGAGATGGGTTGCTAGGGAAAACAAGACATTGACCTACACCATCTGTTTTCTTTTGTTTAAATTAAATGTATTGGGGTAACACTGGTTAATAACATATAAATTCCAGGTGTCTAATTTCATAATATAATTAATATAATGTAACATAACATAATGACATAACAATAAAATATAATAAACATAATAAATTATATAAGAAATAATATACTATAATTAATATAACAAATTAATATACCTCCTTTTACCCTCTTCATTCACCTCTTTGGCCTCTGGTAACCTCCCTTCTGTTGTTTGTTTCTTTGAGTTTTGTTTTTTTTTAATGTTCATTTGTTGCTTTCAGTTTTATATTCCACATAAGTAAAATCATATGGTTCTTGCCCTTTTCTGTCTGACTTATTTCACTCACTATGCTACTTTCAATACCCATCCATGTTGCCACATAAAACAATGTCTCATTTTTGTGACGAGTGAGTAATATTCTGTTATATCTACCTATATGTATATCTATCATCTACCTATATACTGTACCACATCTCTTTTATCCACTCATTGGCCAAAGGACACTTAGGTAGTTCCCATGTCTTGGCCGTTGTGAATAATACTGCACTGAACACAGAGGTACATATATCTTAATGACTAAGTGTTTTCAATTTTTGTTGATGGATACCCAGAAGAGGGATTGCTGGGTCCTATGGTAGCTCAGTTCTTAATTTTTTGTTTTCCATAGTGACTACACCAATTTACATTCCCACCAGAAGTATACAAAAGTCCCCTTTCCTTCACATCCTCTCCAACCTTTGCTATTTCTTGCCTTATTGATAAGAGCCAATCTAATAGCTGTAAGGTTGTATCTCACTGTGGTTTTTGATTTACATTTCCCCTGTAGTTAGTGAAGTTGAGCATGTTTTTTACCCTGATTTACTTATTAAGTAAAGTTGTACCCTACAACTTTACTGTATTTGTTTATTGTTTCTAATAGTTTTTGGTGGAGTGTTTAGGGTTTTTTCTATAAAGAATCATGTCATTTGCAAATAGTGACAGTTTTACTTCTTCATTCTTAATTTGGATGTCCATTATTTCTTTCTCTTGCCTGATTGCTCTGGCAAGGACTTTCAGTACTAGGTTAAATAACGTGTCATCCTTGCCTTATTCATGATCTTAAAGGAGATTTCAGTTGCTCTCCACTGAGTGGGATGAATTGTACCCTTTATCATAATAAAATGTCCATCTCTGTCTCATTAGCTTTTTTATTTCAGAATCTATTTTGTCCAATATAAGTCCAAAAGGGTGGACAAATATTTGTCCAATCTTTGTCCAAAAGGGTGTATGGTTACACTCTTTTCCATGGATCCTATTTGTTTGGAACATTTTCCACCTCTTATCTTTGAGTTGATGTTTTTCTTTGTAGCTGAGATGGATCTTCTGAAGGCAATATACAGTTTTTCAATCCATCCTACTACCTTATGCCTTTGATTGGTGAGTTCAGTCCATTTACCTTAGGGCAATTATTGATACATATTTTCATCTTTTGTTTTCTGGTTGCTCAATATCTTCATCTTTTCTATTCCTTTTTAGTTCTGCTTGCTATTTTAGTTTGGTGGTTTTCTATCATTTTTTTTCCTTTGTTACCTCTTTTTTAATGTTACATGTGTCAATTCTAAGTTTTTGTTTTGTGTTTACTATTAGGTTTATATAAAAAAGTTTTATACAAACAATAGAAGAATCCTTTTTCTTCTGGTTTTATCTTATCTCCATTCACCTGTGCAAGTTCAATTCTTCCTCCTTGCCCTTTTCTTGTTTTTGTTGTCTCAAAATATCCCTTTATTTTCTGTGCATTTATTTCCAAATTGAAGAAGCTATAGTTTTTTTTTTTAAATCACGTTTTATTATTTATGCTATTACAGTTGTCCCAAATTTCCCCCTTCTCTCCCTCTCCTTCCAGGCCCCCTATTCCCTTCAGCACTCCCCACACTGTTGTGCATGTCCATGGGTCCTGCATATATGAGGTCTGCTGGAAAAAGTCCAGCCATTGTTAATATAACGAGAACAGTTTGTGTGACATCAGTGTAACCTGGCAGCCAAAGAGAGTGTACTGAAATGCAGGTGCGTGAACAGTATGACTTTGTTGTACCAGTCACTGGGGGTGGCAGATGTTGCGCGTGGGTCACCTGCCAGCAGTGACCACGGAACGCTGTGGATGGCTCAACGAAAACACGCGAGAAAAAACACACATGCACAGAGACAGACTAGTTTCTGTGGGGAAGTAGGGACGAAATGGCCACCCCCCCTAGTGGGGAGCGCGCTGATTTACTGTCCATACCTGCTTTTATTAGGCTCATTTTGCATAATAATTCAGGTAAAGTACAGAAGTCATTAGGGGGAAGTAAGGAACTATAGAAAACAAAGAACTCTGCCGGTCTATTGAGTTGGGGTCAAAGAGCTGTAAGGCTGAGGAACAAAATAACTTCCTCCTAAGACCCTTCTCATTCAACTGAGAGCATTCTAAACAAAGAAGGTTTCACAGTAATTTACATGTTCTTTCTTAGGCCTGATCACCCTGGGGAATCCGCACTTCTCAGCACAGAGCTGCACCACCCTGTCATTGTTTCAGGCTTAGGTGGAGCAAGGGAACTAAGGCAACTGGGAAACAAGGAGGTTTTTTCCCAGACGCTGAGAACTCAGGCTATGTCAAAGCCGAGGAGCGAGGGTCCATCACCCCCTTTTTGCTGCAGCCCCCCCAAGTCCTTCTTTGGGGGGGCCTCCCAAAAGTGATCGTGCCTGTCTTAGGTCGTTCCCCCATGGGGAATCTTACCCGTCTTTGGCTAACCGACCAAGCTTTTTGGGGTTCAGTTATGAATAAAGCAGCAGAAGCAGCATTCCCGCCAGGAAGATAAGCTTTTGTCTCCTTGCTGGCTTACAGTTCCAAGGGCGTTCCCTTAGCCTTAGCCTAGGCGGAGGTTTCAGCTTCTGATACCAGTCAGGGCAGTTCCCAACAGGCAGACACTGTTGAGTGAGCATGTGTACTATGTGGTTGTCACATTCAAAATGACTAAGCAAGTAGAACAATTAATCTGCATCAAATTTTGCATTAAGCTTGAACACTCCTCTCTGAAAACTATTTGGAAGATTCAGAAGGCCAGAGCTATGGGCAACTAGTGATTGGCAGCTTCATCATGACAACATGCCTGCTCATGCATCATGTCTTGTCTCGTGCATATTATTTTTTGCAAAACATCAAATCACCCAGGTGACTCATGCTCCCTACAGCCCAGATTTGGTACCCTGTGACTCCTGGTTTTTCCCAAAATTAAAATCATCTTTGAAAGGGAAGAGATTTTAGACTCTTGATGAGATTCAGGAAAATACACTGAGGTAGCTGGTGGTGACTGGGAGGACTGGTGGTGGGAGGTCCCCAGGTGCCTATTTTGAAGGCAACTGAGGTGACATTTTCTTATGTGCAATGTTTCTTGTATCTTCTTCAATAAATGTTTCTATTTTTCATATTACATGGCTGGATACATTTTGGACAGGTGGTAGCGTATGTTTTTTGCCTACTCTATTCCCTGTGCTATACTTTATATCCTCATGACTATTCTGTAACTACCCAATTGTACTTCTAATCCCTTCATTTTTTTTTTACCCATCCCTCCTACCTTTTCTGGCAACCAGCAAAATATTCTCTGTGTCTGTGATTCTGTTTCTGGTCTGCTTATTTGTTTTTTAGATTCAATTGTTGATAGATATGAATTTATTGCCATTTCATTATTCATAGTTTTTATCTTTTTCTCTTTAAAGAAGACCCGTTAATATTTCAAATAATACTGGTTTAGTGATGATGAAGTCCTTTAGCTTTTTTTTTGTCTGGGAAACTCTTTATCTGTCCTTTGATTCTAAATGATAGCTTTGCTGGATAGGGTAATGTTGGTTGTAGGTCCTTGCTTTTCATCACTTTAAGTATTTTTTGCCAATTTCTTCTAGCCTGCAAAGTTTGTTTTGAGAAATCAGTCGACTGTCTTATGGATGCTCCCTTGTAAGTAACTAACTTCTTTCCTCTTGCTGCTTTTAAGGTGGTCTCTTCATATTTAACCATTAGCATTTTGATTACAATGTGTCTTAGAGTGGGCCTTTCTGGGTTCATCTTATTTGGGATGCTCCGTGCTTCCTGGACTTGTATCTATTTCCATCTCCAAGTTAGGGAGGTTTTCTTTCATAATTTTTTCAAATTAATTTCCAATTTATTTTTCTCTTCTCTTTCCATCACCCCAATGATGTGAATATTGGTATACTTGAAGTTTTCCCAGAAGCTTCTTATATTATCCTCATTTTTTTTGGATTCTTTTTCTTCTTGCTGTTTCAATTGGTTGTTTTTCTTCCTTATGTTCCAAATCACTGATTTGATTCTCAACTTCATCTACTTTACTGGGGTTTTAAAAAAAGATTTTAATTACTTACTTCTTAGACAGAGGGGAAGGGAAGGAGAAAGAGAGAGAGAAAATGGTCACTGTGTGAGAGATAGATCAATTGATTGCCTCTCACATGCCCCAAGTTGGGGAACCTGGCCAGCAACCCAGACATGTGCCTTGACAGATAATCAAACCTGCAACCTGTCAGTTTGCAGGTCACCACTCAATCCACTGAGCCACACCAGCCAGGGGCAATTTACTGTTGATTCCCTATATATTGTTCTTATTTCAATAAGCATATCCTTTGTTTCTGACTGGATCTTCTTTATGCTGTTGAGGTTCTCACTAAGTTCCCTGAGGATCCTTATAAAAGTGTTATAAAACTCCTTATAACAGTGTTTTGAACTCTGCATCTGATAGATGGCTTTTCTC